AAAATTCCCATTTCAGGGATTGAATCTGAAGAGCCTGAACCACTTGGAGGCCTTGGGAAAACCCATGGGGCACCTCTTCCTCCTCCTTCTCCACTGACCTTGGTGTCTGCAGAGCTGTTCTCCTCACTCCTCTGTTCTCTGACTGCAGTTATGTCCAATTGTGCCCAAAAACTATTTTTCTTTCGTTCTCACAAATGCTGTCACAGAGGCATTACCATCATTCTTGACTGTCCCAGCTTTGCCCAGCAGCAGGTCTGTCTTGGAGCCGGCTGGCATTGGCCCTGTGGGATGTGGGGGAAGCTTCCAGCAGCTTCCTACAGACACCACCCCTGCAACCTCCCATCCTATCAGCACCTTGCCATGCAAAGCAAATACACTAAGTTCTTTAGGAGACTGGAGGGAGAGAGGAGGAAAAGGTGCTCAATCCACCACACTTTTGAAAACCCAAGAAGTGCCACTCTGTGTGTTTGAGTACCTGAATACTTCTGCAGAGTTTTGCATTTCATGACCCTTCCCCTCCTCCTGTGGACTGCCAATGGGACTCCCAGCCAGGCTGGTGGCCAAGGTCAGCATTGGACTGACCAGTGCTAAAGGCAGTAAAGCAATCTTGGCCGCTGGCAGGACACAAGAAATCCCAAGAGGATGACAGGGCTCCTGTTTGTCTGTCCTGTGCCTATTAACCTCTGAGGGTAAATGGTCTCTATTTCACTTAATGCAACAGCTTTGCTGCCAGTCTTCTGCCAATACACTTTAGGCCAAGTAGTCTAACATTAAATGTATCCCACATACACTTTGTTGTGATATTAGTCTGCCTTTTCAAATTTTCCTCTTTTTTCATGCTTTATCAATTCCAAGCTTAAATAAAAGCAAAGCCCAGGTTCCAAGAACTGAGTGGTGACTAAGGTGGGGGCTGTGAAAAGGAATAGAGAGGGAATAGAGCTATAAATGGAATCAGGGAAGCATGGCTTGGGGTGATTAATGAGCTTACATCTGTGACGAGTACTTACTATAAACAGCAGGTAGAGAGGCAAAGCCAGCAGCAGAAAGTGCTCAGGAGCAAAGGAGGTGGAGCCGTGCACACCCCCCGCCCCCATCAGCAGCGACCCTCCTCAGTGGGGCTTTGGGTGGGGTGCACAGCAGGATTTGTAGAACCATTGCGGAGCAGTATGCATCCTTGTGGGAAACTGGGAGAAAAGAGGGATTAAAAAAAAAAATACAATTCCCTTACTAGCGGCAAAACAGTAAAGTCCTGGCTAAAGGTGCAGCTAGGAAGTGCCTGTGCTTTTCCCCTCCTTCCCTGGGATTTTCCTCTAGCAGTGGGTATCCCTGGTGCCCACACTGTGGTTTGCAGCTGCCTGGCATATGGGGCAGCTCCAGTGGGGTAGAAAGAGAAGGATTTTGGTAAGATTGAGGGACTAATTATCAGGGAAAATGCAGTGCAGTTTGGAGCATCTGTTCTGCATTATTCAATAGGATCCCAGCATTATCATTCCTAAGGGTAAACATGGAAATGAAGCCTCTGAAATCCTCTTGTTGGTTTAAAAACAGAAAAACACAAGCAAAGAAAAAGTTTCAATGGAAAACAAAACCAAAATCCTCGCCCCCCCCACCAAAAAAAAAACCTGATGCTTTTTAACATTACATTGTATTGAAAACTGAAACTTCCTCCTTGTTCTCTGTTCCATGATCCATTGATCCATCCCTCTGAGGAAAGCTCAGACTACTATCAAGTAGTGAGAAAATGGAGAATAGGCAAAATTGGAATTCCCGAGATGGATAGTTATGGATAAACACAATGCAGACTTTTTTTTATAAATAAACTGGCCAAGACTGAATTATTATTAAAACAAAATATCAATTTTAAACAGTGAAAACAGAAGCTGTATAAACCAAGCTACTCAGAGCCTTTAAAGAAAACTTCTGGGTTACTCAACACAGCGAGCCGTATGAATAACTCCAGCCCACTCCAGCTTGCTTTTCCCTTGTTTCAGTGCAGAAAAAGTTTCCAGTGCTTGTAGCAACCAGCTCAGCTCACTTTGTTCTTGCTGGGCAGTTTTTGAAGCAGTGCAGAGCAGATGAAATGGGGGTCAGGATCTGATCCCCCACATGCATAGTTTTAAAGATTATCATTCAGGAGAAGCCAATGTGAGGAAGAAAATATTCTAAGCCCAGAGCCTGAGTTATTTCTCTGACCTGGAATGCTAACCAACATAATATTTTATTTGGCTGGTTATAGAAAACATGTGGCAAATCCTCCATTTTTGGGGAAGGTTTGTCCTGCGGCACAAGAAGGAAAGAAAAAGAACTGAACTCTATTCTGCCTGTCTCTGCAATGCTCATCCCTGTGCTCACACAAGCTTCTCTCACCTGAATTTTAAGTTCTGGATACATATGATAACTCTATTTATTCTGCAGAAATACCAACAAGGTCCCAATCAAATATTAACATCAAGATCTGCAGGTTGGGTGCAAACAGGAAAGCATCCCCATGAAAATTTATACTCCAAGCATTATGGGAAGGTTCAGGATAATCAATTATTAAAAAGGACATGAAAAGTAGCAAGTTCAGGACAGATTTAAACAGCAAAACACATTCCCCAGTGTCCTACTGTATTCAGCAGCAGCAAGAGAATTGTTCAGTGCAGGCTGAGGACCTACAGGACCTTTTGGGGCTTTGTATTTAAAGTTCCAGTTCCGATTCTGATCTAGCATCAGGCTCCAAATATGGTCTTTCCCTGTAATCAACTAACCAATCAATCGAACAAACAAACAAACAAAAAACCACAAACAAACCCAACAGAAAAGGAACAATTACTAATTTACCCACAAGAAACCTTTCACTTGCCAGTGAAAGTCAGCATTTGAAATGGAGCCAAGGGGTGAGAGATATTACAGTGCACAGGAGGAGCACAACAAGAGGGTTGTTTGCTGTTTTCCTCATCCTGACAGCTGTTCCTGATGTACCCAACCCTCTACTAAACCTTCCTTAAGGACACTGTACAAAGGGAAGAGTGCTTTTCCCAGCAGGGTTAGCAGGGCTTTAAGCTGCCAGCCAGCTGGGTGAGTGTGAGTCCACTGCAGCCACAGGAGGGGAGGCTCAGGCTCCCACCCTTCCCTCAGGAAAGCTAGTGCTGTGCCAGCACACATGAAGGGTGCATACACATGATCTCTGTACTGGATCAGCTCCAGGGATGCTTATTTCCAGCTGAGGAGCTGTATCAAACACAGTAGGAGATAACCTTTCCAGCCTTTCCATCTGTTCCTGAAGACAAAATGGCATAATAAAGATATTTCTAAACACCTCCAAGCAGGTGGAGGGTAATGAAGTTGGGACAGTGATAGCCATTGCCTTACTTCCTTCATCAGGGACAAATCCTTTAGCTATCCCCTAAAGCCTCTCATCAACTGAGCCACCACAGGACCTATAACTCACCTCCTCCTTTTCCACCAGAGACTGACCAGCTGCCCCCCAAGCTCCCTTGACCCATCAGTGAGGGACAGATCTTCTGTCTGGGACACCTGTGCCCTGCAGTCAGCACAGCACTTTCTCAGTGGGTTTGCTAATCAGGACACCAGTGATGCCCCCTGAGCTGGGAGCCTGTGACTCAGCTGCGGGCTCGCTGCCACTCGGCAGCTGGCACTTGGCACAGGGGCTGTGTGACTCAGGCTGGCAGGAGCCTTTGGAGATGCCTTCCCCTGATTTATATCTGCAAGGGATCCTTTGTGTTCCGACCCTGTTGTTGGCATGCCAGCCTCACCATAAAAATCTGGAGTTAATAAACTCCACTTTCCGATCCCAGCAGCTCTTTCCAGGATGCAGCTTTGTAGGGCTGGCAGTGCTAGCTCCTGCTCCACCAGCCAGCACGGCTGCTGATGCCTTTCACCTTGGAAAAATCCTGTGATTTCACACATGGGCAACCCCAGGGAAAGCTCAGGTTTGCAGTGCCTGGTAGTCTGCCTCTGTCTTGCTCCATCTCCTTGTCCCTTTTGGTATGGAGTTTGGAACCTGTGGTCTTGCAGCCCTACCCCTAACTGCAAGAAGCCTCTTGGCCCCAGCAAGTTGGGCTCCCCCTCAAGAAATCAGAACATTTCAAAAAAGAAAAAAATATAAAGACAAAAGATGCACATGTCAGTTCATTTATGGAGCTGTATAACTGTGACATTTTACAGAGGGCAAAGGGACTCACACCTGGCACTGAAGCCTTTCTTCCGTGGTAGATTTGTGATTTATTTGTAGGTTTTCAGTCAAAAAGGGTGGAAGCACCTTTCACTTCTCAGCAATCCCATGGGACAGGTATGCTTCAGAGCTGGCTACATTCTAGGAGGATGATTCTCTTACTTTAAGCCATATTTTTGGCTTGTATAAACTGGACAGACATCAGTAGAGCTACATCAGTTTGTATCAGCCCAAGCACATGGCTCCACATTCTCAGGGATGGGAGCTCAGTTCTGGAAGGTTTTGAGCAGCCCCTTGGTGCTGCAGGCTGGATGCCCCTATAGACAACGAGCCCTACCTGGGAGGATGTGCAAAAGCTCTTTTTCTTTTGCTTTGTGTTACTCTGGAGAAGAACTGAGGCAGTTCTCCTCACAGTGAATGACAATGGGAAAACAAGAGGAAACATCCTGAAAACAAAATAAAATTTTGTTTAGGACTGAAACTGGGAGCTGAGGCTGGAAGAGAGTTGGAACAGGTTCCAGAGAGCCCCTGATGCATGGGGAACAGCAGGATCAGACTGTGACACTCATCACCCCCATGGGACAGACACAGGGTGTCAACAGCTCTTCACATGAAGAACTGAAAGGATTAAAGCACTTCCATTCAGACACACAGAGGAAAATGGGGCAACACAGGATGGCCACATGTGACCTTAATTAACACTTCAATGTTGGTCCTATGCAGTGCTGGGCACTTGAGGTGGAGGGATGTGTTCAGACCCCTGTTCATGCCAAACCAACCAAGGCTAAGCAGGGCTGACAGCCATCCTCTTTCTCCAGCTCTTTGTGGAGATTTGCTCCTCAGCAAATCCCTCTTCCAAAAACTGACAAAAATATACGTGTTAAGAAGCTTGGAAACCTGTTTGAGGATTAGGCAGAGCCACAGAGCAACGTTGTATGTTAAATATTTTGATTGTCTGCAGGAACTTTGACATAGGGACAAGCAGCACTCGTTGCAAAACGGTTCAGCAGAGGTAACCCCAACACACAGCAGGAGAGCATGAGGAGAGATTAAAGGCTGCTGCAGCTGTTACAGTAAAACATAGGCAAGTACCACAGGCACCCTGAGAAAGATTTTGGAAGAATTTGGGTATCCTGGTGGAAAATCTGTGATCTGGGAGCTCCATATTCCCACTCCACTGCTGCCTAGCCCTGGAGGTGCCTGAACTTGCCCGCTGCCTCCTGTTTTGACTCACAGCCTCCCTGGACGGCTGTGAACCTGCTCCCAGGTTCTCAGAGTTGCTCCCATCCAAACATCTCCCCTCCAGCTCTCAGGTGAGTCTCTAGCAATAGGGCTGTCCCCATCCCCAGCAGGAACCAGCAGCAGGAGCACCACAGCCCTCCCAGGCAATGCCTTTTGCTGCAGCAGCATGAGAGGCTGGGCTGTCCCTGGGAACACCTCTGTGCTGCCCCAAGCAGCTCCCATCCTCTCTGCTGCCCATCCTGAGGGGCACCAGGAGCTCCCCAACAGCCCCTCCAGCCTCCCAGCAGTGAGCACAGACAGCAAGAGCTGCATTTCCCTCCTCCGCAGGGATGCCACAGCGTCCTGGATGGCAGCAATGACCTGCAGCCAGCCCAGCCTCTCCCACACCCTCCAAAGATGCCGGGGTAACACAGGCTGGGGTCAACTCTGGCTTTTGTCACTTTTTCAGTATAACCCATGCTTGAGGCAGAACTTTTTTTTGATAAATTGCACACGCATTTCTCCTCCTGTCCTGTTAACAGCTTGGTTTCAGATGAAGCACAGTAAGTGCCTGCGGTAACTGCTGAAGCCCAGCTTCCCCCATGCTGTCAGCCTCTGCAGTTTTCCCAAACACAATCAACAACCTGGCCTAGGGCTTATCTACCCACTTCCAAAAGTCTTAATCTGACAACTAATGATGCATTAATCACTGTCAGACTACAATCTTTTGTTTCTGCTTCTCTGCAGGCATCTGTCAGGATCACAAAGGATTAATTATTGCATTAGCCCGGGTACAGAGGCTCAGCCCCTCTGCAGACACTCCTCAATGTTTTGTGATTCCTTCAGCAACCACTTCACCTGCCCTTCCTCTCCTTCACTCACCACTCACATTTCTAGCCCTGGATATCTTCTCTCTTGTGTAAGCAGGGGTCCTTTTTCACAAGCAGCACTAAAAGAGAGAATCACCAAAATCCTTCCCTGCAGCATTGTCCCTGTTTGGGCACCCTGGTTCCAAATTAATTTAACCATGAAAGGTGTCTACTCTCTCCTTCATATATGCTTTTATGTGGCTCACCTCTAACCTTCCCTCCACACAGCACTCCAGAGCATGCAGTATGCAGGAGTATGAAGCATCCTGCTCAAAATCAAGCAACCTTCCTTACAAAGCCTGTGGGATGATGACCAAACACCAGAGCAATCCCTGGGAAGCATCCAAGCTCCTCAGCAGACCAACCAGCTGCATCACTTCTTCAAAGAGCCCCAACAGACTGAAATACATTCCCCTCTTACATCTCAAGAGCCTGGGCCCAGCTGTCCACAGGAAGTGACACCCCCAGGAGATGGAGGGACACCAAAGGTTCATCCCCACATGGAAGCTGTAAGGGTTTATGAACGCTGGTGCAGCACAAAGAACCACTGGAGCTGGTACAGTTTGACACAGTAAAGCTGCTCCACACACAGAGACACAGCTGCTTCCAAAGGCAAAAGGAATTAAGCTACGCCTATCTAAAATAAATTTTTTAAATTATAGCTTTTCCTCAAATGCAAACCACTTCCATGAACAGGGGTGTTGAACCTGCATGTCCTGAGCCTTCTCTGCAGCAGCAGCCAGGAAAGTCCATTCAACCATCCTTCACTGCCGAGCACTGTCTGAGGAAGTCTTTGCTCTCCCTTCTATGAGAGTTTCTGTGCATGATTCAGCAGTCATCTACAAAAATAATTTAGAAGATGAATGATTTCACAATGATAGAGGGGAGGAACTCAAGAGAGCATCTCTCTGGGTGCATGGGGGAAGTTTCAGCAGGTGCTTTCATCACACAGATTTCTCCATTTCTCAAACATATCCCAGGTGCTGGAGTTACTTCAGTTCTTGTTTTCCTCTCTGTAGTAAAGGCCTGAGAAGCAGAAACTGACAAAACCAAGCACAAAACAAAATCAAGTACTTGTATATGATGCAGCAGCTTCCTTCTAATAATCTTGGAGGAATTACAGAAGGAAAATACTTGGCACAGCCAGCACAGTGTCATCATGCTGCCAGTGACAGAACAGATGCTGGAAGTGTAACCTGACACAAAAATACCTCTTCCTGTTGGGAGATTGAGCTTACAGCTCCTTCCCAGAGATAAATCTAAAGCAGGAAGGTTTCTTGCTCCCAAAACTGGAATTCTCTGAGTGTTTTACTGCTGGAGATTTAAATGTTTTATTTATAGTGGGAAATCTTCTCCTGTAAAAAACCTCCAGAAGTTCCTATTGCCCAAAAAAGAAACGGATCCCCATCTGCTGGAATGCTGCTGGAATCAAATATTGCTCCAACCAGGGCTTCCCAGCCTTCTGTGCTGCTCAGGAACCTCCAAGAACATGGCTGAGTCTTCTTAGAGCCTCACTTGCGATATATTTCTGAAATTTAATGGGCTTGAGTGGTTCCAGCTGACACTGCAGAAAGGACAGAACCAGACCAAGCCACACTTGTCCCTCCCCACCAGCAGGTCTATTTGTGGCCCTCTGCAGTGCCAGAAATAAACTGCTTTCCTTGGAGAGACCCACAGCCAAGTGCTGGGCTCTTAACAGAGGGCACAGCAGCCTCAAAGAGACCCACTTGAGCTCTGATTTCAAAGTGCTCACCAAGGGGTTTTAGAAGGCTGGAAGTGCTCTCAGGAGTCGTGGTGAGGTGGGAAGAGGAGGGAGGTAAAAATTAAATTTGTGTCTCCTCCTCATCCTTGGAAAGCAGTCCTCCAGGGTGTGCCAGCTCCCTCTCATTTCATTTCTTCTAGCTGGAATATTCCAGCCTCACAAGTGCAGTGCTGAGTCTATTTTAAATGACTCATTAATGTTTGCACACAAATGCCAGATGCTTTCTTTTTAAATAAACAAACAAACAAACAGAAACCTCAAACACCCTCTGAGAGGTGGAACATTTTTTCCTACAGTGAAGGCCACAAGTGGTTGCTTGTGCAGGACAGTGGAAGAAGGTTCTTCAAAATCCTACTTTATAAGCATTTCTCCTCCCTTCCTCAGCCCTTCCCCTGCCACACAGGTGGGGATTTTGGGGAGGGACAGAGGTTATTTCTTCCTACAGCACTGAGGAGGAGAGAATTTTGGAGCTGCCCACAGCTGACAGGCTCAATGGGAAATGAATCCCTGTGGTTTCCCAGTCTTGCCAGTCCTCAACTTTGTTACAGTTCCCATGTTCTTTATACCATGAAAGTGGCAGTGTTACACAACAGATAAACAGCAGGGGCACAGAAATGGGCAATGACAAGAGTTTGGAGGCAAAAGAACTCAGATTCAAAATTGCAGGGAAAGTGATACCAGTGGGAATTGGTCTCTCTCTGTTTGCTCCACAGGTTTTACTCCGATGTGCCAGCTGTCAGGTGAAGGAAATGCCCACTGCTCCATGGACACACAGCATCCTTCTTGCAGGGATCTGTTCACACATGCTGAGCTAAACCCACATCAGCAATTGCTATAAAATTTTAAATAAAGAAAAGGGAAATGTATATTCCTTTTATGTCATGTGCAAAGGCAGTGGCTACTGAAGGCAAGAGGGATTCAGGTGAGCGCTCCATGGGATGTGACTGGAATATGTTTCCTCTGAAGTGCTATAATCAGAGGAGTAATGTATTCCCTTTTTTTCCCCTAAGACTGCAAAAGTACATTTTAGTGTCTGCCACAAGACTGTCAGGATCAGCATTTCAAGTAGCAATTCACCCTTTATCAACATTCAACAGCATTGTAAGTCAGGAATAATTAATGTTACATTAACATAGAGATATCAGGAAAGGTGAGACTGTAAGTATTCAACATCAGATCCATTTAGTATTTCCTGCAATAATGCCATCAGCAGGAAGTATTTACCATAAATGTCAGCTTCAGGGGGATGTTCCAGGGAAGCCAGGAGCTGCTCCCCCCTGTACCTGCCACCTCCCAGCTCTTCACAGCTCTTCAGTGTCTCCTCAGAGCATCATCCTGCAAAGTAGATTCATGTGTCAGAACAAAAAGAAGTATTTCTGTAAAAAACACAAACACTTTGCTATGATGGATATAGGCTTAAACTAAGATAGATAGATTGATCACACATACAGTCCATAGCGAAATGACAGATGAGAGTCATGGAACGATAGATATAGAGATATTTTTGTATTTATGCAGGCATTTATAAGTGAAAGGATACATAAAATCATATTCATATATCCACCCAGTACAACAGGGAAATACATTGTGGCTCTTACAGAAACTGTTTCTTGACTTTTCAGTGGATACATCAGACAGTGTAGTGTATACTGTGCTTAACCACAGCAATATACATATATATATATTTATATAAAAATACATAAATTTATATAAATCCAGTATAAGGTTTTTTTTCTCACAACAGAGAAAGACAGCTAATTGCCTTAACACCTAGAAAAGATGTCTTTCAGGGCAGTCAAGGGGCCTGATTCCTGCATTTCTGTTCCCTCCATCTTCAGAGCTATTCCAGTACAGCCAAAAGGAAAGGGAGTCTCGATGAGCGATTGGCTAAGGAAGGTTGCAGTAAATGTTTAGTGGGATTTTTCAAACATGCCAAAGCTGCTACCTTTCACTGACCAGGACTGAGGTGGCCAGGCATACTGGAAAGTCCCTGTATCTACTTAAGGCCCACTTGTAACAGCATGGGACATGTGACAGAGTGCCTGGAGTCAGAATCCCACTGAATTTCAGTGGAACTGGGACACCTGGATTCAGGAAGTTCCAGCAAAACCCTGCATCACCAAGCACTCACCATGCTGAGGGCTGGAGCACCTGTCCCAGGCTCTATCCTTGTCCCAGCCTGGTTGGTCCCCTCCTCATCCTTGAGGATTCAAGTGAGTTCATCCCTGAGCTCACTTGAATCACAGAGACACAGAATGGTTTGGGTTGGAAGGGACCTAAAAGCTTACCTAGTTCCAATCCCCTCCCACAGGCAGGGACATCTCCCACTCAGCCAGGTGGCTAAAGCCCCATTCCATGTGGCCTTGAACTATGGCATCCACAGCTTCTCTGAGCAACCTGTTCCAGTGCCTCACTGCCCTCTGAGTAAGGAATTTCTCCCTAATATCTGACCTAACCCTGCCCTCTGCCAGTTTAAAGCCATTCTCTCAAATCACTACATGCCCTTGTCAAAAGTCCCTCTCCAGTTCTCTTTCCTGACTGCCACGGTTGCTTCACAACAGGGGTACAAAGAACAGGGAACATGGAACATGCAACAAACCTTTGCTCTGCAAGATAAGCCCCAAAACCCAGATCCTGCACCATCAGTCACAGAGCTGATGTCAGCAGCATGCAGGGAAGTAGGTGAGGGATCAAGACTGACTCAGGAGAGAAGACACCTCTAACTAAAAGCCTTAAGCAGTGCTGAAGGCATCTACTATAGTCTCCTTGCTATGCAGGGGTTTAAAATGCATCAAACATGTCTTGAATAAATACCAGATCTTTCTTTAAAACAGAGAAGAGCTTTTTCCAATGAGTAAAATAATGTTAACAATCCGCTGCTTGGCATTATGTTTAGATAGGCACAACACACTGCCTCTTTCTGGCACCTGCAGAGGAGTTTGATGGCCCCAGAGACATTTCCATGTGAGACTGTCTCCTCAGTGCAGGGACAGGAGCAAGGCAAGCCAGCCTGTCGCACCTTAAGATGCCCCATTCCCACTGAATGCCAGTCCCACAACTTCTTGGTCAGTGCCATGCTTGTTTGACTGTGTACAGACCAAATGTTATAGAAAAATGTAAATATTTTTACGGCCTGGTTTGCTTAAAAGCCTGTCTTAAGGGGAAAGGAATGCTGTGCACACACAGAGCAGAACAAATTTAATGAAAGCCAGAACCCAGAGGTATTGTGTAACCCAGAGATGGAGTGCTTTGCATTGCTAAAGGGTGGTCATTTGGTACATCACAAAGACAGCATGAAAGTCGAGATAACACAATTAATAATGAACTCTCCAACACAAAGCACCATCACCATGACCTCACTCTCCTCATGGACAGAATACAGAGCAATTCACTCATCTCCTCTTGCTTTTGAGAAATGGGCCAAGTGCCCAGTTCTCTCTGTACTGCTGCAGAGTTTTGGTGGTGACAGAGCTGAGCTCCTTTGGAGGTGAGCAGAGGAAGGACAAAGGGCAGTAACAACCAAAAAAGCACTTTTCATGAAATAAGGTCAATAAAAGTCCTGAGCTGAGGTCCCCAGGCTGTGACCACTGAGAGTTTCCAGGAACTGCAGGTTACACCTCTCTCAGCACAACTCTCAATAAAGACCTTTCCCAGTGGGAAGTGCAGCCCTCATTTGAGAACTACCAAGGTGGCAGAAGAATCACTGCTTGCTGTCAACACAGCAAGATCTTGCATCTCTCCAGCAGCAAGATCACAGGCAGCCAGCACCACCAGCAGCTGAGAAAAACATTCAAGGCAGCCCAGACCTGCCTCACCCTGCTCTGTTTTTAAATGTGTTCGAACCAACTCTGAAAGTTGGAACTTAATTACAACTTTATGCTCCACCTCCTTGTGTTTTCAGATGTTCCCACCACAGCTGGGCACAGCCTCTGGCATGGGGAATCACCCATTCAACCCCCATGGGTACATCCAGCAGCACTGTACACTGGCACACAGCTTCAGTGAGGCCTAGAAAGCCACACAAGGCTTGCAAAGTTTTGGAAGAGAGCCCAGATATAACACCAAATAAGAGCTAAGAGAGGTTAGCCCTGCACAAAGCTTGGCAGAATCTTAATGCACTTAATTTCTTTAGATACATTTATTTAATTATATCTTTTCATATCATCAGTGCTTACGAAGTTCAAGTTTAACCCGGGGGGAAAAGGAAAGACTTAGGAGGATGGATTAAAGCCCATCTAAAATATTAAAGTCATTTTTACAGCTAAACATTAAAACTATTTCAAATTGTTCCCTCAAATAAAAATACTCCAATTATGTTGGCTATTTCTCCCTTGGTCTTGCCTGCATCCTTGGGAAAAAAAAATCAAGTAGACAGAATTTAGGTGGGCCAGGATGAAAGCAGAAAAATCTTGAGGTGCATGACAGCTTAATTTAAATTGCAAAGTGCAGGGTCACTGGCCACAGGGTGACAGCAGCCCAGCTGCTTTCTCAACACCTCCAGCTGTCAGGAGACCCAGCCTTTGGCTTTTGGTCCAAAAATGCCACTGGAGCTGATCCTCAGGACATTTTCCCTTTGACTCTGGATCTCACAGTGATTTGTTGCTCCCTGACAAACAGCCCCATCTTTCAAAGTTGGGAGACAGCCCTTCTGACCCCTCCAGATATCCTGCTGCCTCCTCCCCTCGCTCCCACCTGGACCCTGCCCTGGGGGAAGCTGATCCTTTCCCCTTCACTTCCATCAGCACCCTCTTTGCTCACTGAGCAGGGATCTGAATTTTTTCAGGCTCCTGGGTGCTCCTGGGGCCTCCTCCTGTGGCTCTGAATTAAGAAAGGCTTCCAAGAGCTGAATGCAGCTGCAGCCATCAGCCAGTGACCTGCTAGGCTCATGGTGATGCTGGTGCCCAGCTGGGCCTTTTCCTTTGAGACTTTTCTGTGGCCTCACTCCCCTTTTCTTGCCCTTTCTGGCTTCAGTTACAGCCACATGTGAACAATGTACCTTGTGTGCACCTTCCCCACTTGGTGCACAGGCTTGTATAACACTTTTAATATGTGATTTACAAGGGTTCTGTTTTGGGCTGAAATTGCTCCCCTGATGAGCTGAGCAAGGGTGAACAAGGCTGGAGGTGTTCATGAAAGGCAAGGTGGGAGCTGAGAGGGGGGTGAAGGCTCTCAGCTCGCTGGCATGGCAGCCTCTGAGAAGTGATAACAAAACACTACCATTCCTCCCTGAGCTGCCATTAGCCCCAGCAAAGCATCCCCACTTCCAGAAGTGGTATTTTTTGAGGATAAGAAATGTTTAGACTTGGTCAAAAGCAGAAGCAACCTAAAGGCACTGCAGCATTTGAGCCAAATCTATTTGTGACCTTTTCTTTCCCCCCAAAAATGCAAAAAATACTACTAGAAATGCAGAAGGAGTAAATAATGGTATCTTGATTAAACTGAATCATATGGAAAAACAGCATCTGATGATTGTATAATAGAAATATATTCTAAAATACAATTCTCATGAAAAAAAACATGTAATTTTGTACCATTAGTTTATCATTTTAGGTCCCTAAGTTCCAAGTGCTCAAGTAACTACATTAGACAAAGTATCCAAAGGCCAGCTCCTTACTCAACATTAATAAAGTTTAAATTGGAAAAGATAATATAAACTTCCTGTGCTAGAAAAGGCTACTACAGGCAATTAAAGCAGCAGGGGAAGGAGGCAGTACTGTACTCTGACCAGCAGATGCACTGTTCAAGTCTCCTTCACAGCAGCACACGTTCTGAAAGGGAAGACTGCTATGCCTTGATTTTATATACATATATTACAAGATGATGTAATCTTGACTTCAAGTGCTGACAAAACACACTTCAGGATTCTTTAAGGACTTCTTGCTACAGTGAAAGCATGGGGAAATGTTTTCGAGCTCTCCAGAAAGCTTAGCTGAAATTATTTCATAACAGGTTGATGTAATGTATGAGGGTTTTTTTCCCCTTCAGAAACACCTCTAGCAGCAACTTGAGGGATCCCAAGCTGGATCCCTGTTTTGAGCTGCTTCCTACCAGATTCCAATAGAGCAATCTCCAAGCAGCAGCAGCAGCAGCAGCAGCACTCTGGCCAATCCTGCCCTGCTTCAGGGAGCGGAGATAAGGTGTTGAGGCTGCTCTGCTTCTGGGTGAGGCCTCAAATCACCTCTTGGGCTGTTGCTTTCATTAGGACAGCCTAAGGATTATGATCCCTCTGTGCATCAAGCCAACACTTCCTCCCTCTGCTTCCTGGAAAAGCTGCATTTCTCAGCTGTACCTCTCCCTGCAGTGACTGCACTGATGGAAGCCTCCTTGAGACACTC